GTGTCTGTGTATGTGTGTGTGTGTGTGTGTGTGTGTGTGTGTGTTTCACATTGTAAGTGGCAAAACCTTTGCCAAGTTTCCGATGAAGTAAAAAATGTTGTACCATTCTGATGGCGAAAAATTCTAAAACATATTCTGTCAAAAATGACCAAAGTGGGTTAAATTTTTCAGGTAAAACTGAAATCATTTATTTCTGAGGTAAGAAAGTGTGTTTTAGTTTTGCTGAGTTTATTTTTATTTTCAGTTAACTAAAAATATTTTAATAAAATTTCCGTTAATGCTAAAAACACTGACCACTTGTCAACTGGACAGACTCAACAGAAAGAGTAAAAACATGGCACTACAAGTGGGTCACTCATTGCTATGACAGGATCAGATAAGACAGAGGGAGACTTTCTCTCAGGCTATTTCACATCACAATGTCTCTCCAATTAAGTCAAGCGCACCCTGAGATGTTGCCAGCATGATAGCAGATAGATTTGGCATTACCGCAAACACGTGTTTCTCTTGATTTCTGTAAAGACACAGTAGGACAGCTTGTTAGAGTTGAATGTTAAGTTGCGTGCTCTGTTGGAGAGCCTACAGCACTGTGCAGGAGAAAATGTCTAACTGAGCAGAGGTTGCTAGAGGTGGGCGACGCTCTCACGACTGTCCCTAACTTCATCTGGGTTGTATTGTGTCGCCTGTAAAATGCTGTCTGATAACCCGGGGGCGTTTATTTTTGTCCTTTTTGAATGTGGCTATGTATGTGTTTAAGTTCCTTTCATAATCCCCTTCATTTTTCCACTTTCAACAATTGAAAGCTTGTACAATTCTCCATTAATCCTCTACGTTGATAATGGCTGTATTCAAATCTGGGCGTATACCTCATTTCTGTGGGTTACCCAAGAAACCATTACAGAGGGGTGTAGAAAACTATTTTTCTCACATGTTCAAAGAGTGCCTGCTGTATTACAGCCCTGCGGAGATAAAAGACTCTCCGGCTGGGAATGGATTGGGAGGGAGTGTAGCGTTCCACTCCGTCTTTCTCTGGTCAGCGGTGGGGAACGCCAGAGGTGGGTCGAGGTAGGGGTTATGTGTGAGGCAGAACCGGTCAGGCTTTGTAGACAGCCTTGCTAATCAGCTTGGCTGTGTGTCAGGTGATCAGATGTACTGTAGTTAGATTATAGGGTCACAAGGATTGGCAAAGAGGATTATCGAAGCAGGACCTATGGTTCTGGTGGGCCCATAAACATGTATCCATCCCAGAGTTATTTCAAATAAATTACCTTTCAAGTCGCCATCTTCATGTACTGTTGTCAGAAATAAGTGATGAATAAAAAACAAATGCGGTGATTCATTTGGTGTTCCTCATTAAGGGTTCATCAGATACTGTAAGCAAGTAAGAGGCAGCAGGGACACCTGGTGGTGATAACGGTCTTGACCATTGATTTCACTGTGATGAAACGAACAAAATGGCGCGGGAAAGCTGATAGGAGAATGAGGATTGGCCGTGGTTTATTAGTTCTGGGTTCAAAGGGAGGAGGATATAAACCCTTGAATCTCATTTCAAAGGGTCAGGTTGCCCATCCTTGACTGATGTTGTTAACATCTTTCTGAAGGGTGTCAGAGTGATAGTGTGAGCAGAAAAATGTGCGACAAATCTCGAACTAATTTTTGTGAAAATATAGTACTGTTCAGAAGTTTGGTGTCAGTAAGATCCCTTGTGGTCTCACCAAGGCTGTATTAATTTGATCAAAAATACAGCAAAATTGTAATATTGTGAAATATTTGTACAATTTTTAAATAGCTTTTAATCGTTTTTAAATACTGATTTGGTGCACAAGAAACTCTTGTTATGAAAAACAGCTTAATATTTTTGTGGAAACGTGATACAGTTTTTCATATTTTGCAAATTTCAAAACAACGTTTATATGACAAAAAAAAGTTTCTGTAATAATATAAATGTCTTCACTTTTGAGCAATTCAATGCATCCTTGTTGATTTCTTTATTTTTAAATCTTACAGACTCCAAACTTTTAATATGTAGTCTATAAAATATAATAAAATACAATTTTAAGTAACTTTAACCAATAAATGTTTCATAAATAAAATGTTAAAGACTAAACGTTTTATTTTTACGGTTTATTATTTTAATTGTTGTGCAATATAAATAATTTAATAAGGTACTATATAACATGTTGAATACAGTATTAATTCCTATTAGTCCCTATTCTGTTACCAAAGGGTCCCTTGGTCTTTTAGAGAAAATGAAAGCAAGAAAATCCTTGATGAGTCATTCTGCTGTCATTGAAGGCCTCTGTTATCTTTATCTTTCCAATCACACAATCCTTACTCGGTTCCTGTGCGACACACTCTGTGTGTGTTAGTGTAAGTGAGTGTGTGCATACTTTAAACAGCTAATATCTTCAGTCTTCGCTCATGAACGGTGCCAATGCATGGCACCCACATCACCCTCTTGATGTCTGTCTTCTGGAATTTGTAATACTTAGATATCTGTAGTAAAAAAAGAAAATTATTATGTATTATGTAATTCAAATACAAAAAAATTATAATTATGTTTTAAATGACTCTCTGGAACACTCGATTCTGATTTGTCAATTGCTGCATTCAGTAAGCAAATACATTTCTCACATAAAAATATTTTTTATTTTATTTTATTTGTAGTTGATACAAGACATTTCTGTTTTGTGTCTGGGTCTTGATCACCCTGTTTGGGTTTATTCTGTGATATTGGCCAGGTGACTGTGTGTATACATCATTGGATTTCGATATTTTAGTATGTTTAGTTAACTAAGCACCTCTTGGTCTCTTTCAGGAGGGTTTTGAGTATGCACAAGGGATATTTAAGGATTTTCAACATAAAATTACTAGACAGACATGCTCCTTTTTTGCATCTACTAAGGCCGGCAGGCCCTCCATCAACCAAAAGGTCATGAAAGGCATGCTGGGAATGCAGCAAACACACAAGACCGAACACTTCAAGGTCCTCCTCTACCACCACTCCAGAACTGTTTTTTTAAATCCTCATTTACTGGCTTTTACTTCACAGACATGAAATCAGTTTGTTTACCCGTGCTTCTAGTTTCTTTGACATTTGATTTTGTTCGACAAACATCTGATGGCTTAAACGAAAGCAGCTTGCGTGTGTCAAAGGCAGTATAAATTTCCTGATTTGAGATTTCTTCGTTGTCTAAATGAGCTCTTTAAAGCCTTTATGTGAACGTGTAGGATGTGAACTGTGCAAAATGTTCGTCTTTCAGCGTCTTTCTTTTGCTTTGACAGATGTCTTCTATTTAACTCGTGTAGCCGCAGTGCATTCTGGGATATGGTATTGTGTGCCAGTGCCTAATAGAAAGCAGCACTATTTCAAAATGACTCAGATTCCGGGATGACTAAATCACTTCTAAGGAGTTTTCACAGTAAAACGGTTTTCATAACATAAGAAATTATGTTTGGAGAAACTTGAGTAGGGCCAAAAACATCACGCAGACTGAAAAATCACAGGCCACACAGAACTGTGGATCATCTTGACTCTATTAACTGTCCTGATTTCAAAGGATTGAATTGCATATAAGAGGAATGCATTAGTGTATATATATATATATATATATATATATATATATATGTATGTGTGTGTGTGTGTGTGTGTGTGTGTGTATGTATGTATGTATCCAAACTGTCCAAAAATTTTTGAATGCATTTTTGAAAGAAATGAATACTTTTATTTCTCAAGGATGCATGAAATCAATCAAAAGCCAAAGTAAAGACTATCACATTTTTATAAAAACGTATTTTTCAGATAAATGTTATTTTGAACTTGCTATTCATCAAACCATTCTAAAACTCCACAAAAATATTAAGAAGCATTGATAATAATAAGCACCAAATTAGAATAGTTACAAATTATTTTAAATTGTAGTGTAAATTCACAATATTAATATTTTCACTATATTTTTGATCAAATAAATAAAGCATTGGTGATTTTTTATTTTTTTTTAATTAAAAAAAATTTTACTGACCCAAACTTTTAAATGATAGTTCAGATGATGTAGGCTATGTTCAAAAAACAAAATTGCCAATTTTCTAATTTTCTAATCCATTTCTCTTTTTTTCCCCCCTCTGTTCTTTGTACAGATTCATCTTCAAACTACATCCGCCAACTTGAGACTAAAGTCCGGATTTTAGAGGATGACAACAAGCAATTGTTATCCCAGGTAAGAGTCTAGACCTTAAACTCTGCTGGTAATGTGATAGTAAGGTACATGCCATGGAAACACAAAGCTTCCTTCCCAGTTCAGATTCCAAAGGTTTAATCAATCATAATGGTTATTTGCATACAGAAACATAAATATTAAACTAATCCGCCAGTAGAAGGTCAGAGCGAGTGGAAAGTGGTCATGTAGATCTACATTCAATCTGTGAAACATTGACTCATCTGAATCAGGAAAGAAATCTACACAGATCAAGCACTGCCTACAAGCAAAAACAGTCCAAAACAGTTCTAAGCAAATATGTTGGTGTATTTTGATGTAAGAGGACAACAGTGGATGGACTTTCTTAGTGGAGGAAGCATTTTTATGAATTATGGACAGATATTTCACCATAAGTGATGGTTTAAAGTTAAAACGCCTTAATAATGGATTTGTTTGTTACAATAATGTAGCACTTCACAAGACATGAATTGATAGACTGGAGTCGAGTGGATTATTTTTGTGATTGTTTTTATCAGCTGTTTGGACTTTCATCCTGACGGCACCCATTCACTGCAGAGGATCCATTGGTGAACAAGTGATGTAATGACAAATGTCTCCAAATCTTTTCCGATGAATAAACAAACTCATTTGCTCTTGGATGGCCTGAGTAAATTTTCAGGAAATTTTCATTTGTGGGTGAACTGTTCCTTTAATGCATGGCATTGCAGCAAGACTTACATGTATAATTCTGGCTGAATCTCAAAGCTTTGATGCTGAAATGGGACTCTGATTTCATATTATGACACTGTCAGAGCTTTGAACAAAAGGCCCTGGAGCTCCGACAGTTATATGAGACAAAGTTACAGATCTGTCACTAGCAGTTTTCCTTTTATTGCCTCCATCAATAACTCAATTCTTTGAGGAAAGATATCTCAGAATATTCAAGTATTGTATACTTTGTTCTGGGTATTATTTTGTGCCTGATAACTTTCAAGAATGAGTGATCAAAGGCATTCTTGCTCTTACTTTAGGAAATATGAGCGTTTTATTACATGGCTTTTAGCTGATGGAACTTTATCACTGCATCAGGTAGTAAACCACATAGTGAGCTGTGTTTAGCTGTGTAATGTAGGTCTGAAGAAGAGGAGAAGAATGCTGTTACCTGCAGGGTCATCAGTCCATACCAAAGATCTCATTCATGGGGTCAAACCTGTGTTCAATTATGCGTGCTCAGTAAAACATTGTGAGCAGAAGGGATTTCATTTCAGTCCAGTCTTTTTTTTTTGTCTTTTGATTAAGTTGTTCAGAACATTGAGAAGATGCGTTTTATTTTTAAAGGAGCCAATGTGTTTATATACGTACACTTGCGGTCAAAAGTTTGGATTGTTTTTTTCCCCTAATGCTAGTCAAGGCTGCATTTATTTAATTTAAAAAAAGTTAAAACGGTAATAATGTGAAATATTTGTACAATTTAAAATATATATTTTTTATTTCAATAATAATAATTAACAATTAAATATTAATCGAATACATTTTTTATTGAATTATGTCACATGATCCTTCAGAAATCATTCTAATATTCTGATTTGCTGCTCAAGAAATATTTCTTATTATCAATGTTAAAAACAATTGAAGTACAGCAGTTATTTTTGTGGAAACTGTGATAAATTCAGGATTCTTTGATGAATAGAAGGTTCAAAATAAAAACATATATTTGAAATAGAAATCTTTGTAACATTATAAATGTCTTGTCACTTTTTATCAATTTAATGCATCCTTGTTGAATAAATGCAGCCCTGTTGAGTATATGGACTGGGTTTTGACTTCTGAAAGTTGCATTAAGTTTACATTTTTACACAATGTTTATTTCAGAAAATGAGATTTCTCGTCATATGAGACCCTTTCAGTACAAACGGGAATAGTGTGGAGTTATGTTTAGCAGAACTAGTACATGCAGTACAAATTACGCAATGTAGACATAGCAGAAAACTTTTGTAGCAGCCCATTTTCTATGAAAAAGTTCATAACCTCGATTTAGTTCCAGTAATCCCTTTGTGAGCTGTTTGCACACAACAGCCATCAACATACAGGACAAGAAAGCCAAAATGGGGATAATCACACACAGATGCTTTTACTATGGAGGAAATTCATTCATTCTTCACTGTGTAGAGAGATTTTCATTTTTTGTCTGTTTTAGAATGGTATGAAAGTCATGGCAGTGACACTCAAATATGCAGCAGTAAGAGTTTTCAGACAGGTGCCTTTTGGCTAAATTTCTTAGGTCATTATTTATGAAGCGTGACTGACATTACCTCTCAGCTCCAGAGCGTTCTGCTTTGCTTTCTTTTACCTCTTCTCAGATCACCACTCAGGAAATAATCTCACATGCCATCCGCTATCCATTTTTCATTCGCAAACATTTTTGCAGGGGTTTTGTTATCATCCTGAAGTCAGATATGTTGAAGACAGCACATTCTGCTCCATTACGAATCGTAAATGTTGTTTTTTTCAGGTTTATGCCCTTAATGATAGAAGATGTGAAGGTGTTCTTGTGGTTTCTTTGTGCTTGGATTAGTTCTGCTTTGCTTTCTTTTACCTCTTCTCAGATCACCACTCAGGAAATAATCTCACATGCCATCCGCTATCCATTTTTCATTCGCAAACATTTTTGCAGGGGTTTTGTTATCATCCTGAAGTCAGATATGTTGAAGACAGCACATTCTGCTCCATTACGAATCGTAAATGTTGTTTTTTCAGGTTTATGCCCTTAATGATAGAAGATGTGAAGGTGTTCTTGTGGTTTCTTTGTGCTTGGATTGCTAGATCTTTATCGTCAAGTCATACTGAGTACATTTTGCTAAAGCACAAGCATCTAGATGAGCTCGATCATTGTTTTGGTTTATGTTCTTCAGATATAAACAATGAGATTTGCAGTACTGTCACTTTCAAGTGTTTAAACCTTGTCTTGATCAACACTGAAGATCAGAAGAGATGGTAAGATGAGGTCAGGCAGCAGCTGTATTTATAAACACTGTGGCTATGTTAATGCTCTCTGGGTCCCCAAAAAAATTCTGGAGTAAAGCAAGTGGAAGTAAATCTGTCTGGACAGTCAGTTTCTGTGTTGGCACTATATGACCACTCATTATTACAAATTAAGTCATATTCAATATTCAAGAGGCTTATATTAATTGGCTGATGATTGAGGAAATGATCATTTGTATAATTTTTCAGTGTTTTTGAAAGAAGTCTCGGGCTTACATATGGTGTATTTATTTGATCAAAAATACAGTAAAAACAGGAATATTGTGAAATATTATTTCAATTTAAAATAACAGTTTTTTATTTGAATATTTTACAATTTAATTTATTCCTGTATTGGCGAAGCTGAATTTTTAGCAGTCATTAGTGTCTTCAGTGTCACGTGATCTCCAGAAATCATTCTAATATGCTGATTTGGTGGTCAAAAAACACTTCTTATTATTATCAATGTTGAAAACGGTTGTGCTGCTTAATAATTTTGATGGAAACTGTGGTCTGGGTCCCTCAGCGACCGTCCGGCCCATGCAAAAAATTCTGGAGTAAAGTAAGTGGAAGTAAATCTGTCTGGACAGTCAGTTTCTGTGTTGGCACTATATGACCACTCATTATTACAAATTAAGTCATATTCAATATTCAAGAGGCTTATATTAATTGGCTGATGATTGAGGAAATTATCATTTGTATAATTTTTCAGTGTTTTTGAAAGAAGTCTCGGGCTTACAAAAATACAGTAAAAACAGTAATATTGTGAAATATTATTTCATTTTTAAATAACAGTTTTTTATTTGAATATTTTACAATTTAATTTATTCCTGTATTGGCGAAGCTGAATTTTTAGCAGTCATTAGTGTCTTCAGTGTCACGTGATCTCCAGAAATCATTCTAATATGCTGATTTGGTGGTCAAAAAACACTTCTTATTATTATCAATGTTGAAAACGGTTGTGCTGCTTAATAATTTTGATGGAAACTGTGATACATTTTGTTTCAGGATCCTTTGATGAATAGAAAGTTCAAAAGAACAGAATTTATTTGAAATAATTCAATTAAATTCAAGTTTATTTGTATAGCGCTTTTCACGATACAAATCGTTGCAAAGCAACTTTACAGCAAATTAAGTTTCTACAATATTTAGTGGTAGCTTATCAGTGGTGACTGGCAGTTAATGTACATATGGCAGAAATGTAGAAAAATCAATTAAAGACAAACAAACAGACGATGAACACTATTAACATCAATTATTATATGATGCAATCAAACTTATAGCAAAATGTGGTAGTTCTGTATGTTGTTTCAGGGTTGGCATCATCTGAGGTCCTCTGAGGGGTTGGCATCATCTCCTCTCAGGTGTTCTGGATCCAGACTGAAGCTTGTGTAAATCCTAAAGTGTATAATTGTGACAGTTCATAGTTAAAGCTTTTTTGATTGATTTCAATTTATTTAGTATTCAGTTAAAAAAAAAAATTACTGATCCCATACATTGGAATGGTGGCGTACGATACTGTATATTTGATCCCTTTTTGTTCCCACTTTGAATTATCTATGATACCAGAACATTTTTGCGTCTGATTTTTCTGTTAATCCTTATTATCTCAGATAATCTGTGTTTGACACATTTCTGCTTCTCTCCACAGCAGGGGAACATGGGAGATCTTAAGACACTTCAGAAAGGGCTGCCCCTGTATCACTCAGAGTCCCAGCTCTCCTCACTATCCCAGTTTCAGGACACCTTACAGAATGTACGTATCCCATTAAATCTGATGTGACCCCATTATTTTGCATCAGAGCCAAAACCTCAATCACAGTTGAGCTTAAAAAGATTCATGATCATGTTGAGCCGATTTGGAGATTTGACAACAATTAGCTGTTGCAATTCCAGCTGGTTTAAGGATTCTGCATTGCTCTGTGTTGAAGCAGATGAGAATTGACCCATGCCAAGGAGCTTAAAACATCAGCTGGAATGACAGAGTAAAGTCCCACTGAGGACAGTGCCTCATGTTTTTTTTTTTTTAATGGAAGAACAGGAGCTGCTTGTTCAGTGGTTCTTAAACTTTTTCAGGTCGTGGACAATTCAACATAAAAATTGTCGATCACCTACATAGAACAAGTATTTACAGTTTGTTGTGTACATTATTCATATAATAGTTTAGTATAATAGTCTATCTTGAAATAATTTTGCCAGACTGTTTTGTTCATTTTTCCTTGAAATAAACCACACTGTTTGCTAATGAACTAAATGAAACAACTGTTGCATAACAGACAGTTGCATTATTGAAATGAGATACAGAAACACTTTATCACAAATAAACATTAGCAGAACCTGTTAATTATTATTATGAGTTGATTTATCATTCAAATAACTCAGTCAATTATTTGAATTTTATTTATTGCTGACTACAGTTTGAGAATAACCACAGAAGTTGCTTTCATCCGTTTTTATGATGAAAACGTTTTGTTCTGCAAAAATGAAACTACAAGAACACACACTACTGTTCACTGTAAAGGCAAAGCTGAATTTTTAGCAGCTCAGAAATCATTCTAATGTGCTGATTTGGTGCACAAGAAACATTTTAATTTTTTTATTTTATATTATTTGTATTATTACTATCAACAGTTTGTTCTGCTTATTTATAATATTTTTGTGGATACTGATACATTTTTTCAGGATTTTTTGATGAATAAAAAGCTCAAAAGTATATAAAAAGTATTTATTTAAAATAGAAATCTTTTGCTCAATGAAAAAGTCTTTACTGTCACATTTGATCAACTTAATGCATTCTTGCTGAATAAAAGTATTAATTTAAATAAATTATATCTTACTGACCCCAAACTTTTGAACAATAGAGTATTTTGTTCATTAGTCAGGTTCACAGGTTTTTTTTTTCTTTTTCTTGTAGTGTGATGAGAACCGTTTGTATTTTAATATGTAGCACAGAAGTCAAATGAAAGATGCTGTGCTTATTGGCCATTTCCTGTGGATTGCAGGAGGTTTGTTGTGCTCTGATCTCTGCTGGAGACTGTCTCAGTGCTGATCTGTTCCTTGTTTTAGATATCCTTTCTAACCCAAAAAAATGACCTTATAGGAACAGTGTACCCAACCCTGTTTTAATATTTCCAATGCATCTGTTTTTTTTTTATCAGAAGCTGTTCTCAGGATTTCTAAGATACCAAAGTCTGTCTTTAATTCTCAAAAGTAATTTTAGGAGAAACATCTGAAAAAAGCCCACAATGCTGTATATGAACTGAATGCTGTTGAATATGCTCTGTCCTAAAAAGTTATTTTATTATCCCTCTTTTCTTCTCCCTACCTCTCTCTTCTCCTGAGGTATCTTTTTCATCATCCTCATCATCCTCATCATTATCATCATTCCCCTCCACTCGTATCCTCAAAAAAGGTCATCACGAACCTGGTGCTTTAGCTAATTAGTGCACTCATCAGCTATGACAGGCCAAAACAGCACAGCTGCTCCACTTTAATATGAGGGACAGCTTCCACAGAAAGGAGAAATCAATTAGAGAGTGGCGTCTCGTCCTCAGAGGCTGCTGGGCTTATTTTATCCCAGCTCGTCTCAGCCCTGTCTACGAGCTCATGGCTTTGAACTTTCGCTTTAATCACGGGGGAGATGGCACTAAATAATGCAGTGGCGAGCTGCTGAAACAATAATCAGGTTCGTAGAAGCGAGCAGATCGGTTGCCGTTGTTACGGGTTACCTGAGGAGAGGTAAGCAGTTTGGTGCTTTAACGGATTTTGAGTTGCTTGACTAAAATGTAGCATGGAAATTCTATGATTTTTGACATTAATGTATACATACATTACCATTTAAAAGTGTTGGGTCAGTACCTGATAAATTTTTTTCAGGATGCTTTGATGAATAGGAAGTAAAAAAATAGCATTTATTGAAATAATATTTTGTAACATTATGAAAGTCTTTACTGTTGAATGCATCCTTGCTGAATAAAAATATAAATGTCTTTCTCAAAATCTTACTGACTACAAACTTTTGAACTCTTTCGAAGTTTCGATGCCACCAACTTTTGCATATATTGTTGTTTGTTCTTTATAAGTGCTTGTTATAGCTGCCCAGGATCTTATAAACACAGCTTTTTAGACAGACTGAGAAAAAAAAGGCTGATACTTTTTCATCTTTTTAAATTTTGCTAATTTTTTAATGGCTGATGGACCTATTACTTTTATACCTTTAACATCCACGTTTTCCTGTCTTCTTTAAAGACATGTGCTGCACACATCAGAGCAAAGCACAGCTGTATTCATGTGGTCTAATCGTTGGATTTGTTTAATCCAGGTTATAGCCTGTTTTCTGACTGTGACTTCCAAGTGGTGTTTATGATCAATGCATTTTGCGGATTAAACAGATGATAGATTAGCAGTGGGCATTTATAGAGGCATTAGTAAGCCTCTTCAGAATATCTAATATTATTGGTCTTAGATCTGAAAGGTCTATAGAAATATCTTAATGATTGAATTAGGCTGCATCTGTAGTCATACCTCCTCTGCTCTGTTTGTAACAGCACTAGGCACTCTAGCCAGTCACACAGATGTTCCTCATGGCAAGGCTTCAAAACTGGGCTCCAAACAAATGCGATGATCGCTTATTTTATGTTAAAGCCTGGAGATGCCACTTGCTTCTTAATGGATTATTTTGAATAATCGATAATCTGATGAAATTGTGTTTTTTAGGTCAACAAAATTAACACACGGAAGGCTATTCTATAGCACTCTGTGCCTGTTTCAGCAGATTAGGATGTAAACAGAATGTAACTGTGCCTACTTGTTAGAATATATTGTGAGAGTTGCACAGAATACATTTTTAATAAAGAAAACATTTTCAGGCCCTTTCATTTTTTACATTTTGTTATGTTTGAGCATTATGCTAAAATGGTTATTGCTAAAATTATTGTTTATTTTCACGTCAATCTACAGTCTACACAAGCAAAATAACAAGATTTGTAATAACTGTACAGTATACTGTAATAACTGCCAGCACTATACAGTATATCTGTATTAACAGTTTTATTTTTAAATATATTATTGTGACATTTCAGTATAAAGTTGTGTAACTGCATAGAATAATTTTCTCTATTAAACTTATTTAAGATGTTTTAATTATTATTTCTTTTTTTATATTAATTATTTTTATACTTCAATCAGTCATGTATTCATAAAATCTAATTAAAGTGGTATGAACTATTTATGAATATATTTCTATTAATTTGCATTCTATTTTATACAATTTAATTTTATGGGAATTAAATCGCTTACATTTAATCTCATGTAATTCAATTACAATATAGTTTATACAACTTTATCATATGAGATAGTTGAATTGAAAGGCCCTGAATAGATATTGTAATTTGCTATTAAAAAAATCCAGATAATTCGAGCACTGGCAAATTAATCCATGCAGAATGAATTATGGGACTCCTGGGCTTCTCTAATCAGGCTGCCGGGGCGATGCCTGACAGCGACCATTGGTTCGGGATGTACTCGGGTCAGTCCAGGGTAAAGTCCCCACGGCTCTAGCCCTTAATAAACCTGCTGGCAACTGCAAGTGAACATCACAGTCCTGTTCTCCCAGGCCAAAAGCGAGTCGCAGTTTCCATCCAGGGGTCCTCTCCCGACCCCGGTGCTGAAATGCCAGCTCAATTGTTGTGGATTTAACGCTAGAATGGGACTTAAAGGACTGTGTCAAAACAGGGGCTCACCAGACCCTGTGCACTGAAAGAGCTCTTTGTTGATGCATACCCATGAAGGGGGTCCAAGCAGAGATGAGTTATAATGAGATGCTTTAACCCATTTCAAGCCTGAGTTGACTCAGAGAAACAGCCATGGACTTTTCCAATGCTCGGATCTCTGGTAATCCGAGAGAGCAGTATGAGTGATTTTTGATTGTGACGAATGTGTGTCCATCTGCCTACAGGGGTCTACGCGGATGCCAGGAGGTGATCTGCTGCCCCCCGTCACCGGATACCTGCCAGCAGCACAGAAACCAGAAGCTGTTGTACATGCCATGAAAGTGAGATTCTGATGCACATATTGCAAAATTAAGCCATACTTACAAGTTGTGTTTGAATTTCAGCACCAACGGATGCTATAAAATATCACGCTGAATTATATTATGCTATATTATTAGGCTTGCACCATTTTTAATAGTTTCTTGTACTCTCTTTGTTATCCCTCAATGTCTATCAGTAGAAAGTGGGAAAAATCATCAAAATGTTTAAAGTCGAGCCTAATTTGACAGGAAATAGATCAAGTTTCATGGTAGAAACTTGTTTCTCTCTTCATTCCCAAAGCATAGGTTTCATCCTTGTTTTTATGAGTGTTACTGTTACTTACTGTAGTAATACTGCCACCTAGAGGATTTTCTATGATTTGTTGGATCTCTGTTGTTTGAAAGACAACATAAAATTTTGGAACCAGAGAAAACTAAAAAATGTCTCACTGCCACAGTGCTTACAGTGTATAAGTATGACCCATAGTAATAGTGAAGCTTGATTTAGCAAGCACCATTAATCGTTTAACCCTCTGTTCCTTTGCTTTGTAGGTATTAGAAGTCCACGAGAACCTAGACAGGAAGCTTCCAGAGGACTACGAGGAGGATCTCAGTGAGAAAGAGAAAGCCATTGTCAGAGAGATGTGTAATGTGAGTCTACCTAGAAACACCTCTTATCTGCCTCCTCCTACCCTGAACCCCAGCTTACTTCCCACTTGTCCATTAATAAAACCCTGTTCAACAGAAAGGGGCTGTAAGTTTGTGCTCCCTTTCCCATGTGTTTGTTGTCCTGTCACTTTGTATAATTACATCGGCTTTGATTGAGGACACTGTTTCAATGTTTCACAACAGAGACCCACTTTCAGACCACTTTAATGAGAGGCCTTGGCAAAAGTCCTCAGCGTGTTTACCTCACAGTTGTCTGTGCAATTAAAATAACTTGATCACTGAAACAATGCAGGTTTATCTGCTCCCTGAAGGGCCCCTGGAATCTGGGACCTGTGCTCTGTTCCTGCACGGAGAACCTCAGCTTGTCAAAAGCAAAATCTCAGATAGCACAAGGGCTTCTTTCTTTTCTGATTGTAATTAGTCCCTAGACCCACCCACTCACCACACCAACCAACCAACCAACCAGCCATCTTCCCTTTTAGAAGCTCATTCTGCATGATGAGTCATTGCTTATATACTGTATATTTGTGCCTTTTGTGACTTTTCCCTAAGTGTGTAAAAAATTATAAAACATTCTCCTAGAATTTTTCTTTTTTGGGCTTGTCTCAACTTCCCCTCTAGTAAATACATAAAAAGTGCTCAAATCAGGATAAAAATCAGTCTTTTTTTGTATTAATATTTAAATTGGTGTTTATGTAGGTTTTGGTGTGGACTTCGCTAATATACATCTGTATTCCAATGATACAGTTATTTATTCTTCAGCATCTTCTATAAATAGCTGCTGCTATATCTGTGAATATTGCTATATTCACAGATATAGCAATTTCAACTTTAGATGGCACTCAAATCAAAAGAGTCAGCTATTATAAATATTTAGGCATATGGTTGGACAAAAAAAACTAGCTTTTAACGTCCACATTGACAACTTATGTCAATGTTTATGAATATGTAGAATGGTCATCTTTACAACATATGAGGAATTTGCACATGTATATGTTTATTGCTAAGGCACTTCTTGGTAAATTACCTTCTTAAATTACCTTCTTATATTTCAAAATGTTTAACTTTATATACAAGCAATTATGGTATTAGATCTCAGCTGCATCTTCGCGTAAAAGTCCCAAAGCTATCCTCAGAATTTGGTAAACTGAGAAAAAAAAAATTTGATTTTTTTTTTTTTTTATATACATTAATTTCACATTTTTATATATATAATTTCAGTTGGTTTATGAGGTGTCATTACTTAACAGGCCATTATTCAAGAATTTTAAATTTTGAAAAAAACCCGAATAATTAAATACTCAAAAGAAGACATCTGCCAGAATTGTTCTTTTTTGAGTTTGTCTCAACTTCAAAATCAGGAAAATTATACTTTGCACTTTTCCCTAAGAAGTCTTTTTGTCATTTAAATAATTATTTATTATAATTTTTTAAATGTTAATTTAATTTAAACATGTATTTAATTGAAGTTTTTCATAATGATTTTAGCTGGTTTACTGTGTCATTACTAAACAGGTCAGTATTCAAGAATTTTACATTTAGAAAAAAATTTAGAATTAAAATTTTAGAATAAAAAAAACAATAATTACTAAATAAATAGAATATATATATATATATATATATATACATGTACTGTATATACTGTATATATATTTGTTTATTTAGATATTTTTTTATATTATTAGTTAATTAACTGCTAGCTAATGTGTTCTGTAATGAAGACTTATCTCCAGAACCCGAACAATCACATCATCATTACTATCACACACAATATCAAAAATCCACACCATCACACATTATAATACAACCAGATCTTCATCCGAGGACATACTGTATGGTAACATTGAAGAAATAGTTTGAAGACATTTTTCATTTTACAAGATATATATTCATATATCCATAAGATTCACCCAACTGTGTGTTTGCTTTGTGTGTTCAGGTTGTGTGGCGTAAGCTCGGTGATGCGACAGGATCCAAACCCTCCATCCGCCAACATCTCTCTGGGAACCAGTTCAAAGGCCCTTTGTAGCTCCTATGTCAATGACCAGCAGGGCCTTGAACAAACAAACAAATCTGTGAATATGATGGGAGGAACAGACAGACTCAGAACTGGGCAACTTTGTAAAACGACACAAAGAACTTCGCTTCTACTGCCAGCTTCTTTCAGCCCATGGCATTCAGTTGAGACATTTCAAACCTTTTACCTACAACGCCAGGTGGTAGTTTAATATATAATGGACTCGCAGTTAGCACAAGCTAAACCATAGCTCTATTTATGTGCACACCATCCAAGTATTCATACAAGGCAGCTTAATGGATTCATTTGTCATTCCAGATAGAGAATTAAAGCACACAGCTCTTACGCAGATAAATACCCCACGAAGATACTCCTACAAGATCCTTTCCACTCCTAAAAGCTTTTTGATTTTGGCATAAGACCACTCCACAGACCTTTTACACTACCATTCAAAATTTTGGATTGTAAGATGTTTTTGAAAGAAGTCTCTTATGATCAGCAAGGCTGCATTTATTTGATCAAAAATACAGTAAAAACAGTAATATTGTGAAATATTATTACAATTTAAAATAATGTATTCCTGTGATGGTAAAGCTGAATTTTCTGACTCATTCCTCCAGTCTTCAGTGTCACAGGGTTCTTCAGAAATCATTCTAATATGCTGATATGATGCTCAATAAACGTTTCTTATTATTAGCAATGTTGAAAACAGTTGTGCTGCTTAATAATTTTGTGGAAACTGTGATATTTTTTTCAGGATTCTTCAACAAAAAGAAAGTTCACAAGAACGGTATTTATTTAAAATAGAAATATTAAATGTCATGTTTTGCTACAATTAATGCATCCTTGCTGAATAAAAGTATTCATTTGAATTTTTTTTATTTTTTTTTTTACAAATCTTACTGACCCCAAACTTTCAAATGGTTGTATATATATTTTTGACTTGGGCCACACCCATCACATCAGAATGTCAGAGATTATTATCATTGCAATTAAACTTAAACCAAGAATCATGTTACTTATAAAGTTTCCAGCCTTTGACTATTAACAAGTTATATTTATTCATCAGTGTTCATTTTGGACCATTAACATAGCTGAAAAACAAACATAACAGTAAACATTTTAATTTAAAAAAATCCTTTTCAGGTATAGTTCATGAATGCAAATAACACATTTGCTCAGGTTCCCAGAAATACATACTTTAAAATAACCTGAAAATATTCAGAGGATATATGCAAGCCAGCTCATGAGTTTAAGCATTTAATTAAAGTGTTGTTTTTTTCAAACAGTACTTATAAATGCCAGCTCAACTCAAAGCATATTACTTTAAATTCCAAATTGACAATCGTGATTAATGAAGCTGCTTTTTTATGCCTTCATTTGTGCAGATGGAGTCAAAATTCAATATCAGTATCTTGTAATGTGTCCCAATGCAGTGCTTTTGATTACATACGAGACCTTATGGCTTTCTGGGGTCATAATTGAAAGTACTGTTAAAGGAATAGTTCACCCAAAAATGAAAATGTGTTGAAAATGTACTCACCCTCAAGCCATTCAAGATGTAGATGAATTTGTTTCTTCATCGGAACAGATTTAGAGAAAACTATTCCTTTTAATCTTTTAATCGTTTTAGGTCTACAGATTGAGTCAAGAAAAGAACTGGAGCTCAATTTCAGGTTCTAAATACTGAATAGGTGCAATAGAGAAACTCTGTGCTGGATGAATGCAAGTATTGAAGTGATGCTTGTTTTTTGTTCACCCTGATTCCAGGAGCAGTGTGAGATTTCATCAGTACACTGTTTCAAAAAGCATGATGAAACTTTAGCATTGTGTAATCGGCGATTGGAGCATGTAAAGTACCTCAGCCAGTCACACTTTCCATTATTCCTTTCCCTTTACCAAGCTTAACATTTCAGCGTATACTGAATTGAATCGGACCATACAGTATGCACTGATAAAAACTGGACAAGTTGTAAGGTTTCCATTATTAACGATAAGCTTCTTTTGCTGAATTTTGTCTAAAGCTTCTAATTCTGCTCCATAGGCCTAGTTCATGAGACTATCAGGCAACATCTTTTATGCGTGTACTGTACATGATATATAGTGATATCTTATGAATGAAAGTAAATGAACGCAGTAAATGAGGTGCTTTGAGTTTTGTGTTATAATTCAGATCCGTTATCTGTGTACACAAGAACTGTCTCAAAAGATGCTTGCTGCACTCACACAAAGCTCTTTTTTTAAAACCAGTGACCCGATAAGCCATCATTTTTTTATTGTTCATTTAAATCGAAGCTATTTTGAGCATTGCTGAAATCCCTCCGCCGATCTACTTATTTTTTGTATTAAAGTTGTGGATATTTCATTGAATTTGTATATTTATGAGCGCACTTTTACAGTGCTAGACTGAAATCAGATTCGTATTGGATGTTTTTTTTCCTCACTGGATGCAGCAGGTGGCTTTTGGCAGTGTGTAACTTTTTGTTTGTCCGATGTTTATGAGAACAAAATGAGCAGCAAACGTTTGAATAAGTAAAGAAAATAGTTGCATATTTTTATGGAAAGAATACTTGATGAATTTGGGTCAGTAAAACAGTGTGTGCAGATAGATAATAACACAGTAAATGCTGCGATGTTTCACGTGAACACAATACCTGAATCATTAGTGTTGAAGAAGTACATGCATACATTAAAACTATTTTTGAAATCCATTTAAACCTTTATGTCCTTTATAAACCGATCTAGAATACACAACTACTGACTTTTTAAGTTTAAAGCACAAAAGAACCTGAAATGCTGATATTTTCCTATTTTCTTTTCAAATGCACTGCTTCTTTTGTGAGGGAGGATTTGATGTTTGAATTTTTCCTGAAATTCAATGTTCTGTGTAGCTCATCTGTATGTAAAACACACATGAAGTTGTATTCTAGGACATACAATTCAGCGCAATGTAAATAACTCCTATTACTGTAGAATACCTGTAACTAGCATGCATTTATATATTTTTAATAAGCTGTATGTAGCTGAGAATGGACCTGTATTTTAGCTAATACAAATTCTAAATAAATTGCAAATAACCCTCTTGTAGATTTGAAATAAAACCGAATCCTTCTCTTTGTATAATGTCTCATCTCCTTTTTGAATGGTATGACATGAACAGCAGAAAAAAGGCAGAGTCTGCCATCTACTGGAGATTTGCTGGAGTTGCACTAATGTTAACATTGAACGACTGACATTTGTTTCCTGCAAATGATCGGAGAAATTATGTGTTTAGCCTTCAGAATATGTTATTTGCCAACCTCAGAAGGTCAAACTCCTTATTACATGAGCTGTTTATTCTTTATGAATTCTATAATATAATATAAAGGTTGCCAATTTTGCAACCATGCTATTTACGTAAAAATGTGTAACCCTACATGCTCACAATTTGTGAATATATTATAAAAATATCAATGTAGGAAGTAAAAAAAGAGAATAAATGATATATTATAAAGTGGTATCAAATAAATAACACGATTTGTTGATTTATTAAATTATTAACTATTATTAAAATGTAATTTTAGTTTAAACGCTACTGGAAACACATTATAAATCATTATGATTTGACTTGGAATTTATATAAGCGATGTTACATTTACAACAATATGTTATAGCTATGTGTTACGTTTTATATGTTGTGGCTTTGATTGACGGGGTCCTCCACAAATCACGTTGCGCAAACTTTATCCTTTTACGGTCACTTTACGAACCCAAAGTAAACTTCCAATCACAAGACACAGAAGCCTTTTCTGTTAGTGTAGTCAAACCAACCTTGTAAATCTGACCGCACAGATCGACTCCTCTCACGACCAGTAAAGTCACTGCAAACGGGTACCGCCTTAACGTGAACCAATAGAGGCGTACAGTTTAGAGATGTGAAAAATTATGACTCTTTAACCAATTATCACACGCGTACGCAGTTGCGTATGGAACATTCGCCAATTAAAATACGCTTCTGTATAAGTCTAGGGCGGGACAAACGCGTCAACGGGCCAATCCGCTTTTTGAAAACCTTATCAGGGCGTGGCTTTGCCTCTGAAGAAAGGTTAGGTTTTATCAGCAGACCGTGTAGAAGAGGATTGAATTCCAGGTTGACAGGAGGATTATTGCAGTCAATTGGAAGGTAGTTTTGGTGTTCAGTCTGATTAAATAATGTTTGCAAATGTGCCCGAGGTGTTTACGATAGTTAAGCAGAATGTAATAAGCCACATGCCTGCAAATGCGTCGTAAATGTACGCTGTAAACGGTGGCAAATTCAGCAAATTGCGAAATACAAGCATGCTGGTTATTAACACATTGAATGTGTCTCAAAATCTTGTGAGCAGCCTACTTAGGCACCATATCTGGGCGTCGTAGGCGTGCTTAAAGTGTTCAGTACGCTCCCCAACATATTGTTGAACGTTTTAAATACTGTCTATCATGATGCCCTAAAATGATGTAAGTGTAGGCAACTAACCAGGTTTTGAGACACTTGGGCCATGGACGGACAGATAGTTAGATGAATGGATGTGTTATGTTTCTTGAGGTTTTCATTCATGCATTTGTATAATTCATGATCACTGGACCACCCAGTGTTTGAAATGAAGACTGACATGCAGTGCAATAGTGTGTAATGTGAAGCAGGTGACCATCTACTGGTGGGTTTGAATGGATGCATTGGGCCAGGCTGAGTTATTTTAAGGCATCAATCTGCTAAGATCATTACCTAATATACTGATCTTGTATTTTGAATTTTGTTGCATGTATTTCCTGTCTAATGCTGTCAGCCAGTATAGTTACAGTGCTGCTGCTGGCTCCCTTTGTGGTTTCAATTTGAAGTAGCTGACTTTTAAGTGTTTAAATCCAATTTGCTGTTCAGTAATACAATTGGGCTTGTCATTATTTAGTAAACAGTTGGCTTTGGGTATTTGATGGACATGTCCACGGCTGAAACGTTGGCGGCTTATGTATTCATCTCTGAGAAACTCAGATTATAAAATTAATAAAATTCATAAAAAATTAATGAAACGGTCCACATCACGTTTCTTCTAAATATCACAGTAACAAAAAAAAGTAAAGCAATGAAGCTTATTATAAGAATTCTTATTATAGAATTATATACAATTTATATAGAAATAGAATTATAAAGAATTGCTATAAAAATGTTCTTTGAGTGGCCTTTTTGTGCATTGCCCAAATTTGTACAGGTAAAGCAGCCAGACCGTTTTTGAAATATGGGAACAGCTGCCATAGGAGTCATTTATTCAGTTTAACTACATGGAAGTATTTTGCAAATGACACAAGTTTGTTGTATTTGATGAGTTTCATGTAAACCACATGTTCAGTGTTTACAATGAAGTACCTGATTTAGTGCCCTTTGGCTCGCTGTAGCCATCCGTATAATCCCTCACAGAGACCTTTAACCTTTCTTGGCAGTAATTCTAGGCTCAGAGATTATTTGGATGTGAAACATTCACATGTTTCTACCAATTAGTTATGAATATGCTGTACCTAGTCCATTGGACCTAAATATTTATAAGAGGTGTAGTAGAATCAGACTATTGGCGCATTTATTGTTCAGGCTTCTAGGCTGCATGAAGGAGATACGAAACCTGGTCATATATTAGCTTTATTTTTACTTTAATATTTACTGTAATTAAAAGTAATCATATTTATTTATTTTTTAATTTATTCTGTTGCATTATTACAGCCATCCTCTCTCCCAGACCAGAAAGATGGGTAAAAAGAGCAGAGTGAAGACCCAGAAATCGGGGACCGGGGCCACAGCTGCGGTTTCTCCGAAAGAGATGATGAATTTAATCTCTGAACTGCTACAGAGTGAGTATAAAGTACTCTTTATGGCTGCATGCCTGTTCTTGATATACTGTTGCAATGAATTACTCTCATGAGGAGCAACACTGCGTGTGTGCATCACTGGTACACAAAAGACTTTTGTGATTATGCCATAATCGCATTACATGATTGTTATAATATTTGTTATTGCAAAAAAGATGCAGCTGGATACTGAAAAGTGAGCTTCTATAGTTAGAATGGTTTCTTTATGTTAAATAATCTATTTAGTATTTAATCATCTGAAGCTTTTATCCAAATGGTGGCATCTGAGGTTAAGTGCTCAAGGGTATGGTGGTATTTCATGGAATCATTTGGTTATCAGTCCAAATTTTTAACTACAATGTCAAAGAGGTCTTCAGAATTCCTCATTTTGAGGAGGACATGCATTTGTTTAGATTAAAGACAGTTTGCAGGCTGTACTTTTACCAAGCCAGTGAATACCACGATTTTCACAAAAACAGCTAGTAGAAGACACAAATCAGCCAGCATTTGGTTACCCCAGGAACTGTACTTAAAGGAATATTTCACCCAGAAATGAAAATTTGCTGAAAATATTCTCAGCCTCAGGCCATCCAAGATTTAGATGAGTTGTTTTTTGCATCGGAGCAAATGTGGAGAAATTTAGCATTTCATCACTTGCTCACCAAAGGATCCTCTGCAGTGAATGGGTGCCGTCAGAATCAAAGTCCAAACAGCTGATAAAAACATTACAATAATCCACACGACTCCAGTCCATTAATTATCTTCAAAGTGAAAAGCTGTGTGTTTCTAAGAAATAAATCCATCAAGATGTTTTTAACTTCAAATCATTGCTTCTGGCTAAAATACGAGTCCTCTATCCATAATATTGCTTTCTCCAGTGAAACACACAGCTTTTTGTTTCACAAGACATTAATTGATAGGTTGGAGTCATGTGGATTAATTGTGTTTTTTTTTTTTTTTTTTAGCTGTTTGGATTCTGTTTAGTTCAGTTCAGTTTTATTTATAAAGCACTTAAAATCAACCTTAGTTGGCCAAAGTGCTGTACAAAAACATAAGAAAAATATATAAATAAAAGCAAGAAAGTTTCAGGCGAGATCGTGGTACCAACATAAAATTACCATTTTGGGATCTAAGTGACCTAGAAGGATTGTAAGTAACAATTAAATCAGAGCCAAGTTGTTTACTCTCATTCTGACGGCACCCATTCACTACACAGGATTCATGGGTAAGCAGGTGATGTAATGCTAAATTTCTCCAAAAATCTGTTCTGATGTAGAAATAAACTCATCTACATCTTGGATGGCCTGAGGTTGAGTAACTTCTCAGAGAATATAAATTTTTTTTGGTGAACTATTTCTTTAATATGGAGCACAGGGTGTCCGCGGGTTCTTAAAATGTCTTAAATAACGTTTTCCTAATATAAGGCCTTAAAAAGTCTTAAATTCAGATTCGATGGGTCTTAAATATTTTTGGTCACATTACCACTAAAATATCTTAAGTCCGACGGACCTAATGACTTTACAATCATTGGACAGACTGAAGATGTTTTCTTCCCCGCGGTAAGTTACTGCGTCATCAGAGAGAATTGCAGCAAGTTAGCAGAATACAAGCTCGCGCTGAGGCTCACTCTGTCTCTTTGTGAGAGTCTTCATAACAAATGAGTGTAACAGCACACATAAACGCAAAGAAACACACTGAGGTAAAAATTCACAATGTTTAGTTTATTCATAACATGATATAGTTAAGTAACACCATGACAAGTGAGCTATTTTGCTCAATATTCTCATGATGCAAAAAAAACATTCAAAATACCTACACGCATTACGTGAAGTCTAGTGCGCGTGTGCCTTTACAGTGTGCTCTTTCACTGCATGATTCAGTCTATTAAAATACATTCAGAATGATCACAAATTCAAGACATGGGGGCAGACAATGTGTATATTTATACCACTTCGTATAATTAATAAATTTCACATGGAAGAGTGCCTTTTTTTCTGTAAAAATTACCATATACAAATGTAATATATATATATATATATATATATATATATATATATATATATATATATATATATATATATATATATATATATATATATATATATATATATATATATATATATATATATTTTTTTTTTACAACAGTTCAATAAAGCTAGATGTTTTATTAACAGGTTTCAGACACCATATTGGCTGTTTTTGCTCTATTTCGCCAACAAAAATAATTCCAAACAAAGCCACAGCGCTGTTTTGCTTCTTTGAGTAGTATGAGGGTGTTTCGTTCCTGAATGAATCAACCGTTTAAATGATTCGGTTCAATCGCAATGACTCACTTATTAACAGTGACTTGCTGCCACCTACTGGCGGTTTTAATTTCACATTTAAAGTATCTTTTAATTTTTTTTAAATCATTTCAAATATCAGTATTCCATTTTTTTATGTTTAATATATCAAATTATTTATTTATTTGTAACGGCAGGTTAAATGCATTAAACGGTGTGTAAATACTACTAAATGTCAGTTCAGGTGCAGCTTATGTCTGGATTGCAAATATGAATTTTGTTGATACTGATTTCATTTGCTTTGTAACAGCCCAGATGTCTTATTATTCGTATTAACTGATTAAATGTAAGAATTTTGCTCAAAAGATAATGCATACTTATAGAAAAAATGGCTTTATAAAGGTAAAATGCCCATAAAAGGTAAAAATCAATTTAAACTAATTGGAAAAGATTAATTTCTATCTGACCACCACACAGAATATGAAAAACTTTAGGAGTCAGCTGTCCAAGAAAGTCCTTAAGATACCAGCATAACACACTCAATCAGTTGAATGAATGACTCAATGACTCACTCATGAAGTGACTTACTGGTAGTTTAGTTGTGTAGTATGTTGAAAAGTATGCATTTTCCCCCTCAATATTTCTTATTTGTATATTCATAAATACATTTAAAACATTAATCTCTTAACATTATTTACTGCAGTTGTAATTATTGTTATTTGCAGTTGTAAATTATTTAATCTGACTGGTAGCAGCCCTATAGTGTATATTGAATTTATTGATAAATTGTAATAATTTGGTTAAAAATAGGCCTTTGTAAAGGTAAATAAAACTATGCAGATTTAAGTATGTAAAAGCTGATAGAACACTGATGAAAATATTGCTTCAGAATAAATTGTTTACTCCACCAAAAATCTCAGTGATGCAGTTATTTTGCAGGGATATTTTGTATGGAATATTGTCTGCTGACATTAAAAGTTCACTGTATATCGTAGTAATAAATATTATTTATTACAGCAATGATATTTTGTTTTCTTTTATATTTAAACACATTAAATATTACATATATGTATGTAATAAAATGTGTATTTCCATTACAGGTTTAGGTCTTAAATTTCATATAAGTTGGTATTTAAAAAGGTCTTAAAAAGTCTTAAAATTAACTTGTTCATGTCTGTAGAAACCCTGGGAGCACTAAGCTATTTACCCCACAGTCACCCGTTGGGTTTTGTTGATCAAAGCATAAGTGATTGTTAAATATAAACTTATTGGAATGTTTTTCTTTTCTTTCCCCCATTCAGAGTGTAGCAGCGCTGCTCCCTCTCCTGGGAAAGAGTGGGAGGAATATGTTCAGATCCGAGCTCTGGTGGAGAAGATCCGTAAGAAACAGAAAGGTACACAGTTGGTTCAAAATTAATATGATTTAGCAGTTCTGTAGGTTTTACATAGCATGGTTTGCCTTGTGATTTGCCATTGGCCATTTTTAAGGAGTAAAGTATTAAACTGTCCTAGTTGCAAGAAAAAAGAGGTTGGAAAAGAACAGATGGTGTGAAACTTAAAGAAATATTTCACCCAGATATGAAATGAATCCTGTCATTTACTTGCTTATTACTTTCTTTTTTCTGGGTAAATTAGAAATTTTACAGAATGTCTTTGAAGATCTTTTCCCACACAAATCAAATGAATAGAGGTGGATCCTGTAAAGCAGGGGTGCCCAAACTCGTTCCTGGAGGGCCGGTGTCCTGCAGAGTTTAGCTCCAACCCCAATTAAACACACCTGAAGCAGCTAATCAAGCTCTTACTAGGCATACTAGAAACTTGAAGGCAGGTGTGTTGAGGCAAGTTGGAGCTAAACTCTGCAGGACACCGGCCCTCCAGGACCGAGTTTGGGCACCCCTGCTGTAAAGCTTTAAAACTAACCATAAAAATAGAATAAATGTTGTCCATATGGCTCTTGCTCTATTTTTCGACTTTAAGTCGTTCGTTTTTGACCTGTTCCCTACTTTTTGCTATAAAAATGTCTTGGAACGACAAGAGGGTGAGTAAAAAAATGGCTTTTTGGGTTCCTTTAAGAGAAACATAAGAGAGTATGAAAAATCTTATTATCATTAAAGATTGCATGTTACACATTTGTTTATCTGATAGAATGACTTCTATAACAATATGCGCACATTATGCAGTAAGTTGATGTACTGTGGCAAACACAGAAATCTCTTCGGTTACAGTGATGTGATGACTTGAGTAAGATCCTATCACATTACTTAATAAAATACTCAGTGGGAGTCTCAGAGATGTGCATTAGAACACATAAATATCCAATAGAATAAATGTTAGACAGCACATTATGCTGCAGAATACACAAGAGTTATAGATTGCACCGTTTAGGTCCACTTGTGTGGTGTTACAGCAACATAATACAGTAGAGTGCCGTAGAATAATGGAAACTTCTCATGCTGATGTTCAATATACATACAGTAGCTAAATCAGCTTGTGATAGGATTGTATTATTTCCTCAGGGATGTCAGTATCATTTGAGGGAACCAGGGAGGAATTTTTCTCAGAGCTGATGGCCTGGGCCGCAGAATGTGGGGCTTCTTGTGACGGTTTTGAGATCTCCAACTTTGCAGATGAAGGACATGGCCTGAAAGCCACCAGAGATATCAAGGTTGGTTTCTTTCTCACCTAGTTCAAGGACTGTTTGATGGTAAGACGGATAAGAATCTATTTGAGTTTTTATGTTGGATACATTTTATTTTTTTTTTATATTCATTTATTGTTTTTACAAGTTCAGGTCTTGCAGCGCCTTTGTCTCTAAATGGGGCTGTTCCTAGCCAAAATAAGCTGCAATATGAACCAGACCTCATGCTGGTAGTCTTTTCTGACGTCACACACTTGTGTATTATCGAGATTCAGTTCATTGCAATATTGTATGTGTGCGATGTGCTGGCTTGTTCTGCCACCTACAGAGCGTCATATCTTGAGTGTTGAAGGCTGAAACGAATAACTCATCTTATATATTGGTTATAGATACAGTAGATGATAATTATTTGTGTGGTCCTTCCACTTGATGGTCAGTGACCAAGTGGTAATTACAGGTGTGTATGTACTGATCAGAGCTGTTTTTCACCATCATCCTTGTTAATGCTTTAGGAGGGAATATATAGAGGTCATTGATCACTGCAGGTCATATTTTAACTCCAGGCTTGATTGAGTCAATGATAATTTTAAATGGCTGCTACAGTTAGCCTTATTGACGTTTTCAGTTGCTTTTGCTAATTGCTAATTATAAAGTGCAGTTCTTTTTATTATTTAAAATAATGGAATTTGAATGTGTCAGGAAAGGACTAGCCCTGTAATTAAACTAAATTTGTATGCAACAGTACATCAGTTGGTGATTTTGCATGTGTGCTTTTGACAGTGACCATTTAAATTGTTCTGTGGGCTTTCTGTCCATTTCAGGCAGAGGAGCTGTTCCTGTGGATCCCTAGAAAAATGCTGATGACTGTGGAATCTGCCAAGAACTCTGTCCTTGGTGAGTTTGCATAGTTGTAGCAATGTCAATCTTTGACCTCTAACTCTGACAATGACATGTCACGTTGAAATGTGCAATTGTTTCTCTCCCCACACAGAAAATGGAGACCACAATTATATAAATGTTACTTTGTTGTTCCAGGCTAAATACAAATTTTAGCTATGTAGACAGCATCTGTGACATGGTGTTGATTACCACAGAAAATTAATTTGACTTGCTACAGCTAAACTCATAGCACAATTTTTGGTTGCATTTTTTTTCTCTGACTAAAATGAAATAATTTTATATTAGTAGCTTGCTATTTTCTATTTTTAATTGTCTTTCTACCATGTAGATGTTGATATAATGTTGTTTTCTTAATATTTGCTATAGTTAGAACCAGTGTTTTATATATATATATATATATATATATATATATATATATACTACCGTTCAAAGGTTTGGGATCAGAACGATTTTTTATGTTTTTTTTATAGGAGTTTCTTATGCTCATCAAGGCTGCATTTATTTGATCAAAAATACAGGAAAAAATTTAAAATTGTGAAATATTATTATGATGTAAAATAACGTTTTTCTATTTTAATATACATTAATATTTAATTTATTCCTGTGATCAAAGCTGAATTTTCAGCATCATTACTCCAGTATAAAGTGTCACAGGATCCTTCAGAAATCATTCTAATATGCTGATTTATTATCAGTGCTGGAAACTGTTGTGCTGCTTAATATTTTTTTGGAACCTGTGATACTTTTTTTCAGGATTCTTTCATGGATAAAAAGTTAAAAAGAAGAGCATTTATTTAAAATAGAAATATTTTCGAACAGTATACACTACAGTTCAAAAGTTTGGGGTCGGTACATTTTTATTCTTTCTTTTTTTGAAAGACATTAAAACTTTTATTCAGCAAGGATGTTAAATTGTTAAGAAGTGATAGCAAAGATTTATATTGTCAGAAAAGATTTATATTTTGAATATATGCTGTTCTTTTTAACTTTTTATTCAACAAAGAATCCTGAAAAAAGTATCGCAGTTTCCAAAAAAATATTTGGCAGCACAGCTGATGCCAACATTGATAATTCTTATAATAAATCTGCATATTAGAATGATTTCTTAAGGATCATGTGACACTTTATACTGGAGTAATGGCTGATGGAAATTCAACTTTGCATCACAGAAATAAATTATATTATAAAGGATATTAAAATAGAAATCATTATTTTGTATTGTAATAACATTTTGCAAGATTACTGTTTTTTTCTGTATTTTTGATCAAATAAATGCAGCCTTGATGAGCATAAGAGACTTCTTTAAAAAACATTACAAGTCTTACTGATCCCAAACTTTTGACCGGTTGTGTATGTATGTATGTATGTATGTATGTATGTATGTATGTATTTTAATGTAGTTTAAGTTTAGTCATTTTATGTGATTCTAGTACTTCAGCCTATTTCAGTGAGTTGCCAAGGCAACATTTCAAAATGTTTGTTTTATCTAATTGTTTTCTTTGATTTCAGCTTAATTTCAATTACCGAAAAATAATTTTAATAGTTTTAGTTAACAATAACAACACTAGTAAAAAAAGAACACAAATTACGATGACCTGATATGAACTCCTTTATGCAGGGGTTCTTTTTTGCCTTTATGACTTGTGTTGCAGTCTTGGGCTTTCAAACATACCAAGCTTGCTGGTCAATTAAACACACATCCACATCAAAACCTAGTGTGAAAGTGAAATGTAGTGAACTTTAGTTGTGTTTTAATGTCTAGAAATCATTTGCAGACAGAACCCTAAATTCACCTTTTTTTCACAGGGCAGCTGTACAGTCAGGACCGGATCCTTCAGGCCATGGGCAATGTGACTCTGGCTCTACACTTGCTGTGTGAACGGGCCAATCCCAGCTCACCTTGGCTGCCCTACATCAAGACCCTGCCTGCTGACTACGACACACCCCTGTACTTTGAAGAGGATGAAGTGCGCCACCTGCTGGCCACACAAGCCATACAGGACGTACTCAGTCAATACAAAAACACAGCGCGGCAGTATGCCTACTTCTACAAAGTCATCCACGTAAGTCACACTGCTGCGCTCTTAATTGTCTGTTTATTTGTGTGTAAATGTTTTAAAGCTAAAATCAGTTACTATTGCATTCTGCATACTGTTTTACATATGTTTACCTTTTTCCAGGCAATATAACTTCAGGGCTTAATATAGGCACCTAGTCTCACTTTTCAGCTATGGATGTCCCTGAATACACCACAAAAGTACAAACTTTCTTCAGTTAATTCATAGAGTTGTGCTCATACGTATGGCAGTTTTGATGAGTGCGGTGAGTGATAGCCCTATCTGTGTCTCATACATGGACTGCCAGCCGTTTGAGGGCAGGGCTCTTTAAGCAATCAGCGCCACAAGTTATTCAGACTCTCTAGCCACATGAATAGCTGTCCTTTACACTGCTGTCTGCTGAGGTGAGGAAATCCAGTTTTAAAAGGATCCCTGCCGTTGAAGGCACATTGGAGATGGGTAAAAGGAGCTTTATAATGCCCTCTTGCACCCAATTTCAGGGCCCCTGATAAGCTGCCATTGACATGGCTCAGAGATGGTGCCGCAGTGGCAAACTTTGGCCAGCAGGGGGAGATGTTTATCCTTTAATGTAGTGTTGAAAGCAAAATGTGAATGAGCATGAATTAGTTTGCTTTTAAATAACAACGTTTACGTCCAAAAGTTTTAGATTTTGGTGTTAGAAAAGACTATGAAATGCCAAATGGTGTGATACTTTTTGCTCTGTTTCAATAAGGAATAAAATACATTTACTTCGACTAAGAATAGAATATCTTATTGTCACTGCAAAAGTAAAGACATCTGCTTGTTTCCACCATTCAAACTAAACAATAATCAGAAATGACTGAGTTTTGCTTTTACCCAAGTCGGGTGAAACATCTCTGATTAATATTCAGTGGTAGCCTAACCTCTTAAGTTTCCACTTTGGTTACAAAGAGTGCATTATATTACCATAAAATGTTATTTCAGTGTTGTGATGAAAATCTTGAATATGCAGATTTATGATTATTAAATGACACATTGAGATGGCAGTTCATTTCAGTGTGACTGAAGCTGTCCAATAAATTTTATCCCGTTTCTTGGACCTCCTCTTGGCTATTAAGGAAGCAATAATATGCTCTTCCAGTTCTCCCCAATTTTTATTCAAAATCTCTGCCGGTACATTTAGTTTCTTTCATTAGATGACTGTCAATTAGGGAAAAGAAACTAATATTTCCCATTACTGTCAAGATAAGGCATCAAATATTCATTCAAATAGTTAATGTATTTGTCATTTTGTCTGCAAATCTGCTGACGTTTTCTTTATTAAATGTTTTCTAGTTTATAAAAGGGGGTTGGAGTGTAATTTAGAGCGGTATTATTGTTTCTCGTACTCTGTTAATAACTTTAATCAAGTGTATTAATACCATTTTCTATACAGCGACTGAGACAAATAACAGGAAACACAATAAACTGGAATATATGCATCTGCTACTTTAAGCCCTTGGCATCAGTCATCAAAAAGTTTAACAATTTGCATATGCAGTGAACGTTTCATTGTCCATTAGGTGGCAGAAGTGAGTTAAGCTTCAAATGAAACATTACTTCCTCTGAATCTCCGAACTTGGTTAAAGTTTGGGTTGCTAAAATAAAGCTGGAGGACCGCATGACCTACTGGCATAATGATCACACCGTGCAAATCTTTTAATGAACAGAAAGATTCATTCTGTGTGTGTTCAGGCAGGATTTCGGAGTGAAATTAACATATAACTTTTTTTTTTTTGCTCATCTGAAGTTCTGTTTTTTTTTTCTAGAGAGGTTCAGTTGAGGGGTAGTGTTGTCTTGCTGGCCCTTCGGTGAGTGTCCTGTCCGCTACTCTCCTCTCGGCTCTTCAGGTTTGGAGCCAGTGTCACTGTAATGACTACTGTCAATGTCAGCCTCCCTTCTGAGGCGGCCGCAGATGACCGGGCTGGAAAATTAGCTTGTCGCATTGGCTTTGAATTGAATTGACCTGATTGTACCTTCCACACATGACTGACAACCACAGCCCCCCCTTCTTCTACTTCCTCCCACCGCCTGCTTTATCTGGTCCCTGCCTCCCCCCTCCTCTCTGCTTCTCCTCGGGAAGAACTGAGAAAGCAAGGCCCTTCACCTGCTGGAATTGAGGAGCTTTTTATATATATATTTGACTGTGTGAAGAGGGGATAGGCTGTTGTCAACGCCGGGTGCCCTCCGAGGAGTATCCAAGCGCCTCCGGTGTCCGCGGGGGATCAATGATGGCTGCGCCTTTCTCACTGGGGCTGGATGCTTGTGTGTGTGTGTGTGTGTAGGGGAGGTGAACCTCATAAGGTGACCCCGGTATGCAGCGAATGCAAAATAACCTTGGTGTGCTGCATCTGCCGCTGTTGATGAGAAATGAACAGGGTCCCAATGGTATGCTCTCATCCCACCCCCTCTCTCTGCACCTGGGAAGATATGTCTGACCTTCCTGATGCAGCTCAGAAAATGACAGAGTTTGCAACGTTGAATGACGCCATAGGCATGCGTTCGTTTCATAATTTTTAGCAATTAAATTAAGTGCACAAATTCGAATGTTGAATAGTCGACATAATGAAAGTAAGGAGTAAAATCAATCCCGTTTGAACCTCAGCATGTGCACGGATGACGAGCTCTCTAATGTCAGCCAGTGCGGCGGATGCGGTGCTTGGGGATCTCGGCTCCAGAAAGACCTCCTGGAGGCCACCGGCCAATTAGCCGCGTTTCCCGCTGTCCTCGTTAAGCAGAGCAGGCGCTCGTGGTGGGAGCTTTTGTTTTCTAATTGATTTACAGGGCCGTTCCCCCTCATCTCTCTCTGAGCCACGGTGCCATTGTGGCACATGATGAATTACCTCTCTCTGGTGATGCTAATGCATCACAAGCCGAACCTGCAGCGGTGCAGCTGCCCTTCATCTCCAAAAACTACACCTCATCAACCGTGCCGTCTAAAACTACCTCCGTTTCGTCTTAAACTACCTCTGTATGTGCGCACATCCTATATTTTTAGGATTAAAATATCCTAACCCTCAGCGCTCTGAGGGATCCAGGCAGACTTCTTCATGGCCTTTCTGCAGCCAGGTTCGCCCTTCCCCCTGAGGTTTATCACTCTGTTCAACTAATTATTGCCTCAATTGAATCTATTAAGGTACTCAAGTATTCAGCTCTCAGAGGGCTGAAAATATCATTAATGATACTTTAACCCTTTTCAGTTGGCCTATAATGGTTACTGATGCTCAAAGATGCTTTTTTTCATCTTTGTTTAGCTGGCTTCAGCACATCTTCCTGCAGGAAGTCTGAAGAACTACTTGAGTCTCTGGAGATTTGCCCTATTACTTCCATCAAAACCTGTATTATGCCCATCCTTACATGAACCATTTCCCTTCATCTGCAGTGAGGCTCAAACCCAAGACACTGAATTCTTACTCGTTGGCTTTACCCAGCACTTATCTTTTAATGTTGTCCATCACCCTACGTGAACGCTGCTACCAAGTCAGCCTGTTCCCAGAATTGGGGTTAAATTGAAAGGAAGTGGTCAGGCTTTGCTCTGTTATTATATCATGCTTTGTGAATTCACAGCTGACCTGTAGATTTTAGACCTTTGCCTGGTTGCACACAGTGGGGGCAGTTGAAATACAAGTTCTTATGCTCTGCTGTAGGGCTAGAGCAATGTCAAAACTGGACTGTACTCTGCTGACACACTGAGTCACTGGCAAAGATATGATGTGGCCACACGGTATCACTGTCTTCACTAAGTGTGTGTGGGTTCTAGAGCAGCGAGGGGGAATACAGGGCTCAATTAGTGTTAGGGAAATTGATTAATAGGGAGAGACGTGGAAGGTAAAAGTTGGCCACTACTTCTGAGCGCTTCTATTCCTCAGTTTGCGAGCCTAATGGTGCAACTTGGTTGACAGAAGGAGTTTGCGCCCCTTTCCAGTAAGCACACGTACAACATCTGAGAAGGATCACATTTCCTGGAAATGTTTGCGTTGTATTTGAAAGGATCCTTTAACAAAAAACAAAAAAAAGGCAACTAACTCACCTTGTTGTCATTCCAACAAACCCATACAAACATGTATGACTTTCTTCCATGGAACTCAAACGGAGATGTTTTGCTGAGTGTTAATGCTGCTCTTTTCCATACAACAAAAGCTTATAGCATGAATTTATAAGCACCACAAAAGAAGTCTTCTGATGTCGTGCAATAATGACGAACTTTATCATTTTTATCTCTATTCACTTGAATTTTTTATACTATTTACGTTTAATGAGCCTTGATCGGTTGCAGAAGGCATTCCCAATTATTTTATTTTATTTATTTTTTTGTCTGCTGAACCTTTTCGACCTAAAATTAATACGTCATATTTCATTAATTTCACAAAATATTTACATGTTCCCGGTTTGGTTAATGGTCACATGACATGCAGGTAAACTAATAAAATATTTAATTTTGTTTAGAAAGTATTTTGTTTTAATTTTTACAATTTGAAAAAATATATATTTTCATCAAGCCTTGGTCAGATGTTTGTCATTTGTCAAAACATCTGAAAAAACTGAATTATGTGTTCAAACATTTACTGGATATTGATTTTACTTTCTGTTTAACTGTTTAGGGCTTAGCAATGTTGATGAGCAGAACTCTTTAAAAAAAAACATCTAACATCAACCCTAATGTTGAAGAGATGTTTTTATTAAAGGGGTCATATGATGCAATTTAAATTTTTCCTTTCTCTTTGGAGTGTTACGAGCTCCTGGTGCATAAAGAAGATCTGTAAAGTTGCAAAGACTAAAGTCTCAAATCCAAAGAGATATTCTTTATAAAAGTTAAGAGTCAGCCACACCTACATAAAACGCCTCGTTTAAACACACCCCCACATACCTACGTCACTATCTAGGGAAGATTTGCATAATGCCGCCCAAATGTTCACGCAAAGAAAGAAGGCGTAACTTTTATTCTCGCTGTAGTATTGTTGTTGCCGCCGCTGCCATGCCGTGAAGGCGTGGTGTGTTTCGTTGTGAAAGCGAAACTACTTTGTTTGGTCTTCCAAAAGAGGACGATATCTGCTTTGTCATGCCTGTCAAGCTTTCACCGTGGACGAAGCGGAGTCCAGCCCGGGGTCGTTACATGTAGTCGCTCCTTCGTCGAATCCGCCGGCCACGCCGTTCTCAAGCCCGCCGTGTGTTTCGTTGTGAAAACAAAACTACTTTGTTTGGCCTTCCAAAAGAGGACACGACTAGAAATCAGTGGTTAAGTTGGGCGTAACATTCCTGTCACACGCTTGAGGTATTCGGCCAATCACAACGCACTGGATAGCTGGCCAATCAGAGCACACCTCGCTTTTCAGACCGATGAGCTTTGTAAAAATCGATGCATTTCAGAAAGGCGGGGCATAGAGTAGAAAAAATTATGTACAGTATGTGGAAAATAATGTGTTTTTTAACCTTAAACCGCATAAACGCATTTCATTACACCAAATACACAAAATTCCCTTTAAGGAAGTTATTTTGTATTCACATCTGTAAGTGATTCATGTCATTTGAAGTCTGCCAAGTTCACTTTTTCTTTTATGTTGTTTTGGTTCCAGTGTCTGTTGGGCAATTTTATCACTTGTTCTGTGTGATGGACTGATCACCTGAGTCGTGATTATGATATTCAAGCACAAGCTTTTTGATATATTGTGTTATATACATATCAGCACCATTACGGTTTGCACGGTACCTCATTGTGGAGTACAGTGCTTCATTTCACAGGACAAGCGCCACACACACAGCCGTGAGAGCACCTGTGGGGGAAAAGAATATCCTTCACTCTCAGCTTCAAACCTACGTCTATTTTTATGGCTCATTTTGCATGTTCGGGAGGGTGCTACGGGCCGGCTGAATTAGACCCTGGCATTCTTTGCTCCCTACTTTTTTTTCTTCTTTCTACGGGATTGTAGCTTTTTTTTCCCCTCTCCATGACACCCGCTGCAAATGAGCCCTTGGAGGGAGCGAGTCTGTGGCTTTAAATGTAGATTTCTGTGGCACCAGTGGCTCTCTGTCGCACAAATTGATGAAGCAGATTTATGACGGCTGCTGGGCATAACAAATTAAGTTGACAGTGATGTATGGGGGGCTAATGCCACCATGATCCTTGCATAGCACCACTGGACGCTCTCTGCCTGGCTACACTCTTGTTAGGATCTGTTAGGCAGCCACATAATGAAATTCCACTGACTGATTTTTATTTTTATTTTTTTTCTTGCTCTCTCTTTCCTCCTTTCCCCCTCTACCTCCATATCTCATTCTCTCTTGTCCTTTACTCTCTCTTTTCTCCTTTTTCCTTCACTCCACTCTCTGTGTTCTTCATTTTCAATTCCCAGACTCATCCGAACGCCAGCAAACTGCCCTTGAAGGATGCTTTTACCTTTGATGACTACAGGTTGGTTGAAATGTCCTACCATGTTAAAAAAAAGTGGAACTTCTCTTCCCTGCTGAGGTTCAAAAAAAGAAAAGAGCAGGAAGATGAGATGTAGGTTGGTTGTAGGGCTACGCGATGGCCTTTAAAAATGTTTGTTCTCATTGTTCTTTCATTAGCACCAAATTATCTGTGAAGGAATAATTTATCATTGGTCCCCTTTCATCTTCAGATTGTTGAATATGATGCAAGTCTGTGCTCCCGTTGGGTAATGTGTGAAGAGAATAGAATAGCGTCTTGTCACTGCTAATGTTGTCTTCGGTGGACTTCATGAAGTTTCTTTTAATACATTTTTACCATGAAGATTCGAATTAACTGTTTTTGCAGTTAGTGTCCATACATGTTCTGGGTGGACTGGGAAGGGAATTTTGAGTTGGATCTATATTAAACTCTTTGATTTCAAAAGAGCAAGTGAAATCCTGTTTTCCATTCTATTCCCCTTTAGTGTTAGCACAGCAGACAATACTTTGAAATGGTCCAGAAATGACCCATTATTTTGGACGCGTTTTGTGTCTGTAACAAGTTTTGAACCTGTAATGAAGCAATGCCATTTGTTTGTCAGGTGGGCAGTGTCCTCTGTGATGACCCGTCAGAACCAGATTCCTACAACAGATGGAAGTCGGGTCACACTGGCCCTCATCCCTCTCTGGGACATGTGCAACCACACCAACGGCCTGGTGAGTCTTCAGTGCTGCTTTCAAAATGAATACAGAACTCCCTATCAAAAATAATTTATGGGTAGCAGCAAGAAACTTTTGCAACCAATTCAGTTTAACCATTTTATATAAATTCCTCTATGACATGGATGTTTACAGTGTTTTCACTTGTTTTGCAGTCAAGTACAGGAAAAAACATTTTCTTTTAAGGAATGCGGGAGCGTCTAATGTGATTTTTCGGTAGATTATGGCTTCATCCCAAGGGATCTTTTATATTTATTTGGATAATGTGTCTTTGATTGCGCTCTGTAGCTCTTGCCAGAGAGCAATATATCGCCTCTGTTCATATAATTCTGTAATGCACTTATATCCTAAAACAAAGTTTTGTTTCAAATTATCATGTGCATTGAAAATTAGGGTCATTAAAATGTGTAATGAAATGGTTTTCCCGTAATCCCCTGGTTAAGATTTAATAAAAACATTTTGTATGTTTTGTAGCAGTGTTTTTGTGGACAATTTACTCCGTTTATTTGATTTAGTTGATTTGTGAAGATTTTAATAGTGAAGGATTGTATTTGTTAAGGTGTGTTATTTTAATAGGCTGCCTCTATAACTATTAATAAGTGGCATTTATTTGTTGGATGTTAAATGTTTAATTTTAAATGTTTATATTTAACATTTTAAAGCTTTTATACATGTTAAATGCTGACTAATTACGCCTGATATTAACATGAGATCTGATGACAAATGGATAGTGCTAAAGTGTAAATGGGGTCCAAAATGTTTCATTCACTCATATTACGTTCAGGGAACACTTCTCATCTCATTTGTAAGTTTAAACACTATTGGGTTTTGTGACAACACTCAAGAATAATTGCCAACAGAAAAATTAACAAGGCCAACACTGGAACTGATAAAATTGGATTACATTTTTTTTGTCGTAATTGTTTTTTGATATTAATATTTTCACTGGATAGATTTTTAAAGGCTCTATTAGTTTATTATTTTATTTCATATAAAATAATGGGGACAATTAATGAAAAAGCCTACAGTAAGCCTTGAACTTTTGTGCTATTGTACGGCTTAATTATTGAAGCTTATTTTAAATTTGTTGGCGTAAAAAAAAAAAAAAGAAGTACATAACCACTCAAATGTTTGGGATAACATTTATTATTATCACCAATGTTGAAAACAGTTGCTTAATGTCTGTAAAATCTGACAAATGTTTGTTTTTCCCTTTTTCCCTGAATCAATAAAATATGCCTCAGGAGTATATTAAGTGATTCAAATATTAACAAAACCTTTTCTGTTCTGTTCTAGATTACGACTGGCTACAATCTAGAGGATGACCGATGCGAATGTGTGGCTCTCAAAGATTACAAAGAGGCTGAACAGGTGAGTCTTACAACACCATCTTAAGATCGCAGTTAGTGTGACCATTAGTCTTTACAGCAGGATATCTCAGACAATATCACATTTGCCCATGTGATTGACAAAGTCAGCTGGTGGATTTCGTGCCATGCTCTGTCCACCTAATGCACTTGTACATTTTCAATTTCCATTCGCTCACTTTCACCTCGGCGCTGTTGCTCTATGCTTGTGCTTCCGTGATGCATTTATCAGCCAGCGGCCATTATGGAGGCCTGGGGGTAATATCAGAGCGGAGGCATTCAGATCCAGCTATGGGGAGAGCGGATACGCGGGGCACACAGTGACAGGCCAGGTATACACCCCCACCCCCCCTCCAGAATGTGAATTATTTGATAAGATTCGCAGAGACAGCCAGTGGAAGAAGAAAGAGAATGCGGGGGCCGGCATGTGGGACTCGGACAAGCGTTGGGGGGAGTAGGAGGGGCCGTTTCAGGAGCGTCGTTTGATCCCTGATTCCTGCTGCTGATTTCGCACTGGGCCGGAACTCAATGTGGAGAGGCTGAGAACAGAATTGAACTGCTTTTCTCGCCCCCTCTCTTTCTCTCCAGCACTATGTTTTATCTCTCTCTTTCACACTCTCTCTGCACAGCACTATCTGTAAATGTTGCGGATTTACTGTTGAGCGGAAGACGTGAGCAGTGTTTGAAAGGACAGTAGTATGTGAAGGAAGTTTTCAGGGCTAAATTGCCACTGGTTAATATCACATCCATTCCCATAGACCTGTGCAACCATGAGTCCATGTCTGTTTCCGCCATGAAATGAAAGGCAGTGCTTATACTAATTTATGCGTTACTGTAATAATGTCATAGTTATGCCAAAATGACAAAGGTTTTCCGGTTTCTCTCCCCTCAGATCTACATATTCTATGGTACAAGATCCAATGCAGAGTTTGTGATCCACAATGGTTTCTTCTTTGAGGACAACGCACACGACCGCGTGAAGATTAAGCTGGGTGTGAGCAAGAGCGAACGTTTGTATGCCATGAAGGCCGAGGTTCTGGCTCGTGCTGGGATTCCTGCGTGAGTATCCTGTACAGAAATGACGTCCTTTAGCTCCATTCCACATGATCCACATAGAGAGATTTGTCTAGCTTTTCTTTTTTTCTTTATTACTGTAGTGTTCAATCTAGTTTTAATTCCATTTAAACCCATCAGACCTCATCCTCTTTATTTTTTGCTTTTAAATTCTGAAAATGAGCTACTCTTCATAGCACTACTTGAGCTACAATGCCTTCAAGAATGATTTACTTTAGATTAGTCATGAAAAACTGTCTCTGTTGGCCATGCCTTTTAAATTTAGCCATTTATATGATTATAACCAAGTGAATAGGAAGTTTGAATAGCCACTTAAAGACAAAAAATGGCTAATAACTTAATGAAAACAGCTTTAATAAAAAAACAAACAAAATAAAAAATAATAATAACTAAATAAAAATAAACTTAATAATAATAATATTAGGTGATAGATAACATCAGTTTTATATATATATATATTTATTTGTTTATTTTTATTTTTTATTTTATTTTTTTTTGTTTGTTATTTCTTTTGTTATATGGTATTTTTCTGAGGGTGGCAGTAATTCTGGAGTGCGTTTTTTTTCCCCCCCGAAACATTAGAAAAGCATTGTCTTGTCTTTTTTTATGTCCCTTTCAGTTCTCTCCTGGTAGAGAGTCATACTGCTGCAAGAATCATCATCCAGGTGTAACAGAATTACAGTGCTGTAAAACCTCTTCTATTGTGGCATAATGCTATCAGTGAATTTTCTGTCACGCAGATCAATATCCTTTAAGTCTCCAAAACAAAATCCACACAGGCCCATATGAAATTGCCTTTTGATTCAGGTCATAGTAGAGCTGCTCCTTTTCATCCCACTGTAAGTCAGACAGGAAAAGGCCATAGATATGCTCCAGTAATTAAACGGTAAATTATAAATGATTGAGCATGTTTTAAAAAATGCATCAAGTTCAGTGGCCTCTCATCGCTTCAGATCAATCAGTTGTCATGCGACAGGGAGCAGTTCTGTGGTCTTGTGCAGGCAGGAGGCTTCCATTAGCACCTGCCCGTTCCGCTGGAGTTAATTGGGGTTTAATTTGAGAGAGGTGGGGGGCAAGTCAGTTGGAGTAACACCCTGCTTTGAACCCTCTCTGGTCCTTCTCTTCCTCAGGTCCAGTATCTTTGCCCTGCACTGCAGCGAGCCTCCGATATCCGCTCAGCTCCTGGCCTTCCTCCGTGTCTTCTGCATGACTGAAGGTAAGAATTTTTGTTTGTCCTTATACCTTCAAGCATGGCACTAAGGTACACCAGTGGCCATCTGTGAGCCATAAAACAGGAAGTGAGATGCCTTATTCCATATCACATCCTTACACTAAACTAGACCGGACAGCAAAGCCTAAACAAGAGTCCCTCAGGTGTTTAATTGATCAAGACAGTGCCGCAGATGTGTGGAAGGACTGATCCAGAGTCTGTGAAATATTTATAAGCATCTATGTAGAAGTTTTTGTCATAAATCCCATAAAGCAAGGCCATGTCCTCTGGCAATACCTCTTAAGTCTGAACTGATACATTATTCAGAATTTTTATGTTAATTTTTAAACGAAGCGAAGCCCCTGTTCTGGGGGCTTCTATTTTACTGGTGTGAAAGGATTCAGCGGTGTGCACGAGCAAAGTAGTCGTTCAGCAAGCCCTTTCATCTCGTTAGCAGCCGTGTAATCATACCTTACATAATCGCTGCAGATCAGACCTGCCGGCTCACTAGCACGGCAGATTACTCCCTTAACCAGAGAGGTGTGCGTTTCTGATTGCAGAGGAACTCAGGGACTATCTGGTGGGCGATCACGCCATCAACAAGATCTTCACCCTGGGCAACACTGAATTCCCTGTCAGCTGGGAGAACGAAATTAAGCTGTGGACGTTCCTGGAAACACGGGCTGCGCTGCTTCTCAAAACCTACAAGACGTCCTCAGAGGTGCTGGAGCGATGGCAAACAAACTCTGAACTTTTCACACACGTTATAAATCATCTTTAAATTGTTTAAAAAGTTTAATTGCACAGGCAATGAAGGTAGCAACATCCTTATGTTCTGATTTGCTGTTCAAGAAATATTTCTTATCAATTTTGAAATCAGTTGTTTGTGCTGCTTAATATTTAAAAAAAAACGAGATACGTTTAAAATATTAATCAAAGATAACACAAAATGCAGTTTTTAAATGAAGGTTTTTATTATTAAGGGAACACAATATCCAAAACTACATGCCCCCCCGTCCCCCCACCCCCCCTCCTGTTAAAACTGTGGTGCATCACACCTGAGTTCAATTTCTCTAGCCACACCCAGGCCTGATTACTGCCACACCTGTTCACAATCAAGAAATCTCTTAAATAGGACCTGCCTGACAAAGTGAAGTAGACCAAAAGATCCTCAAAAGCTAGACATCATGCCAAGATCCAAAGAAATTCAGAAATAAATGAGAAAGAAAGTAATTGAGATCTATCAGTCTGGAAAAGGTTATAAAGCCATTTCTAAAGCTTTGGGACTCCAGCGAACCACAGTGAGAGCCATTATTCACAAATGGCAAAAACATGGAACAGTGGAGAACCTTCCCAGGAGTGGCCGGCCGACCAAAATTACCCCAAGAGCACAGCGACGAACATGCAAAAAAATAAGAAATCAGGAAGGGGGCCAACATTTTTTCACACCACTGTTTGTACGTTTACTTAGCTATCTAAATGGGGACATTGCAGAGACTTCTAATGTTTTTACAAATAGGTAGTTATACATTTTACAACTATACAACCATAACCCACATCATAACAGAAAAGTCCTGCATTTATTCTCTGCATGAATGCAAAATATACTGTATAGTTCTATTCGCGCACACACACTCTCTCTCTCTCACACACATACTACATATACAATATATACTGTATGTTTGTGTGTATGAATATAACTATATAGCATATTCTGCATTCATGCATATTATATTTGTGCATACACACTTTTTGTATTTGCTTTTTGTTCAAATGAAAACATTGGGCCAAAATGTGGAATGACATTTCTCTGAACTTAGAATGAAATCTGTTTCTTAAAATAGTGTAGAAAACTGCAGAAAGTTTTGTAATCAACTGATTTTGTAATCAAGCCATTTTGTTTCTGATTGGTTTCAAATAATGATCATTTTAACCAATCGTCATTAGTTTAAGATCTCTGTTGTTGTGTTGTTCAGGAGGACCGCTCCATGCTGGAGAAGCCTGACCTGTCCCTGCACTCCCGCATCGCTATAAAGCTGCGGCTGGCAGAGAAAGAGATTCTCGAGCGTGCTGTGTACTGCGGTCGGGCCAAGCGCCTGCACTTCCAGAAGCAGCTGGATGAAGGGGCTCCGCTGCCACTGTACGAAGAAAGCGACATTGCCCTTTTGGAGAATGCAGATGCCAAACTCCCCATCATCCTGCGCAAACTGGAAGAAGAAGATGAGCGTGTTGAGGAGGAGATGAGCCTGGCCCAAATCAAGCCGGACGCTGCTGCTCTGGACTCCTCCAAGACGCCCGTTCTTAATGGGCAGTGTAAAGATCTCAATGGTACTCAAGAAGATCCTCCAGGAGGTGATGCGGTGGTGAAAGTGATTGAGGTTGAGAAGCACGACCCGAGTACCAAACAAACTGAAGGGGAACCAAAAGATGACGGCAAATAGTCATAACCAGAGCACGGTGGCAATCTTAGTTCCTGCTATTTATTTATTTTCATTTAAGAGACTCACAATTAGGAGCAAAAGCTTTCTAAACAACAAAAAAAAGCAGTGGATTTCAGTTTAAAAGTTTTTTGTTTTTTTTATTAAATGCAGCTTAAGTATGAGCTAGCTCAAGCGATAAGAAACCTGCTGTTTTATTTTGTTTTGTTGGAGTTTTTATCAGTGCCACGTTTGGTTTCTTTTGTAGTAGCTTCGCTAGTGCTGCCAGAAAGTTTCCTGGTGAAGGTGAGGAAGTAACCAATCACATGGACTCCTGTCTAGATGAAGGCTTGCTCAGACTTCACAAAATGAAAGAAAAATATATATATCGAAGACTTTAACATGGTAACGTTGCCAAGGATGTTTCTGTTTAGTCATCTAATACTGGCTTAGGGAATTTTACTTCTCTCTAACCAGCCTTTGCTGTAGGTCATGCCAGAAATATGCTTGATGTTTAGTGCTGCTTGACAATCATTACTCTTATGTTCTGACATTGATCTGTAAAGAGATCAACGCTGCCTCGCTGCATGCTAGTTACTTTACTCGCATAAAAAGTAAGGTTACTGAAAGACTTTGGTCCCAAAAAAGTACATATTTTCATGCACTTCAGAGAATGGTCGGTGTGTTCTCAAAGTGAGCTCAAAGTTAGTTTCGGTTTTGGATGTTGTAAGCTGAACCAGAGAATAAGAGGTTGTTGGTGACCATATGGTTACTCTTTGCTGTGAATGTTATTCAAAGTTTGTGTGTTAAAGCCCTTCACTTTTCGTTATGTTATATATATTCGTTTTAATTATTTTTTGCTTATGAAACACTTTGCGGTTAATGGACATCAAGACTATGATCTCTGAGGACTAATTCTCTCGTGCGTGATCTTTAGGAAATCTGTTTTTATTTTCTTTATTTTTATGTAAGTATTCACTGCAACACCAAAATGATCTTGCATTTGTCATGAAACTGTTGTGGTCATCTTTAAGCCTTAACGAACGTCATTTAGTTGGATTTCAGATGCAGAAATATTGATCCAGAATGAAGACCTTGTCAACAAAACACTGGGGGCTATTAATTAAAGGAATATTTCACCCAAAATGAGAATTCTACCATTATTCACTCACCCTAATGTTGTTTCAGATCTGTGTATTATTATTTATTTATTTTGCACTGTATTCTACATCTTTTGAAGCCATATGATACATTTTGGTCTGTTCTTTACCTAAAGCTTAGCAATTATTTACTGATAATCTTGCATCTTTTTCTCACACAAAGCTATCACATGGCCTTGGAAGACTTTAAAAATAGATTTTTTTTTAATCCTAAAAAGCTTTTCAGCATAGGTTTTGATCAATAGGAACTGTCAAGGAGATGCATAATAATTCTTAATAAAATAATAAAAAATATATAACACGTGTATATATATCCGGCAATAGTGACTTGTATTAGGTGATGACAAATGATCAAAATATACCCCCAATGTTTTGTTATGTTTTTGAAGCTGTGTACATATATAGAAATAGAAATCACATTTCAATTCAAGTGTTTTGCCCAACTAAAAAACAATGTTCAATATACTGTTCAGAATGGTTTATGTTGACTGATGTTTGAGTGTATAGCCTGTCACTTGTTCTTGCTGCTTCTGTATATAGATTTATAGCTTTGGAAAGCTAACAGCTTTAATACACTTATTCTCAAATCTTTAATGTGATCTAGCCATAAAGAAAATGCACAGTGGATTGCCAGTACATCAGTACAACTGTATAGGTAAGAGCCATTAGAGTCTGTCTACAATGACAAGTCCAAGATTCAAATTCTGTGCATTTTTCACCTGAATCAAATAAGGTAGAGTGCTTTTCTTCAAATCCTTGACCTGTCTATCTTTCTTTTTATCTTTTTTAAAAGAAAGTTCCCATTAGGAGACATAAGGGCACTCGTCCCTTGTCCTTTCATTCTTTGTTTCATTTGGAGGGGAAAGAAAGGTTTTATTTAATGTATTTTTTCATTCTTTGCCCCCCAAGCCCCATTACAAATTTATAAAAGAAACATTATCTTGAATCATTTAATTCGGGGCAATTAAATTTTGAAGTTCCACATTCATTATTCATGGGCTTCAAGATAAAACCCCTTTAATCCTTGAATAGATTATTATAATGGGCGATAGTGTGGGCAGTGGTAAACTCGGGCAGCCCTGCACATGTCCGGTATTGTTAGTATTCCTCATGTCAGGGCTGAGAGCAGGAGTGCATGGAGCTCCCTTTGGCCTGGGACCATGCCACCAAAGTAATTCTGCCTATGAATAATACACAGCGCTTCTATTAATATAGAATGCCTTCAGACCCAGGGCAGAGGACCCATTGTCATGCAAGTATTTACCAATACATGTGCCATACTTGAGCGAGAGGGGCTTTCTTCAGAGGTTGCAGGGTCACATTTCCATGCACGTTAAGTGGTCGAGGCCCAACCAGTACTGTTGACATGGAGAGACTGCACTCTTAGAAATAAATGTTCCATAAAGGGTTTTACAATGGTCTTTAGATAACCATCTACAATGGGGTCCAAAATCTGAGTCTGAGTGTTTCTTTTGTATTCTTTAACTCAAAATGTCATAACATTTGCATAATAATTTGAGTTAAAAGTTGAATTAAGTTCAAATAAATTTCAGAATGTGTTTGGTTTGTCTCTCTTTTTACAGTAATACTTGAGGTGCATGAACTCCACAAGTTTATGTAAAACCATCATGTTCTCCATGATTTCAGATGATCCAAAGAGCTCCTTGTGCTTTAATGGAAGCAAGAAGATCTGATTTTCTGTACAAAGAGTCACATGATCAGTGTCACAAATTGACTTACTTGATTAGCGATAAAGCAATAGTGCTACAAAGAACTATGAGTGCTTCATTTCTCCTGTTATTTAATGAGACCTAGAATAACTCAAATGTAACTCAAAATTAAGACATTTTAAAATCTCAGAAATATCCATATAGCGACTCAACAACCCAAATTCAGCATAAATTGTATGTGCGAAGGAGGAGATTCTTTGCTAACCTGAAGATGCTGTTAACAGTGTTGAAGGTCTTGAGTCTGTCCTTTCATGTTTTTATGGTCTTCATTTTGACTGAGTCAAGACTGTCTGACTTAACCTACTCAGGTCTTGGACTGTAATGAACCGGGTCTCCATTACAACACTGTCTTCTAACAATCACTGAACCTTTTAAGATTGTGGGTAAAAGGTGCTCGCCTTGTCTTTTTAAATAGTCTCTAATGCCACCCAGCACTTAATACAAAGTGGGAAAGTTGTCTTGTGAAAGATTTCTGCATGCAGTGGGATCTGTCTCTTAAGCTATTCAGGTCTTCTAATGCTGAAGCAGTGTCTGTGGCCTTGTTACTTTGTGAACTAGTGTTTTTCTTGAGAAGAGCAGCTCTGCAGTTAGTTCACACACCACCTGCATTGAACCGAGGATTATTGGTACTTCTCTACCTGTGGGAAGACCCTCTTGACCGGGTCTCCATTACAACACTGTCTTCTAACAATCACTGAACCTTTTAAGATTGTGGGTAAAAGGTGCTCGCCTTGTCTTTTTAAATAGTCTCTAATGCCACCCAGCACTTAATGCAAAGTGGGAAAGTTGTCTTGTGAAAGATTTCTGCATGCAGTGGGATCTGTGTCTTAAGCTATTCAGGTCTTCTAATGCTGAAGCAGTGTCTGTGGCCTTGTTACTTTGTGAACTAGTGTTTTTCTTGAGAAGAGCAGCTCTGCAGTTAGTTCACACACCACCTGCATTGAACCGAGGATTATTGGTACTTCTCTACCTGTGGGAAGACCCTCTTATTTGTATTTTAAGCGTTAAGCTGCCTCTGCAAACAGTTTGGTACGTGAGACATTAGGCGGTCAGAAACGGTCTCCAGTTGAGGCAAAGGCCACGCAGGTGAGAGAAAGCAATTTTGTTCTTGTATGAGAATACTTCAGCATGCATGACTTCCGGTCTGTGGTTTCTCAGCTTGGGCTTAGTTAAAATAACACATGGCTGGAAAGTGTTAACGGTCATATTTATAAAGTGCCCTTGAACAATTGCAGAGAAACTGTCTTGTGTTCTCCCACCCTTTAAAGTGGTCACTGTTACGTTTTTTTCATTGTCTTTTGAAGTGATGTGTCACTTCATGTAGTACCTGCGCGGCTTCCTCTGACCACGGTATCCTTGTACAAGTATATGTGATGGTTTTAAGTGGGCAGAGTTTACATTGTCTTAGTATTTTTTATAGATGCAGTTCAATTTAAATGGCTAATGTCTGTCGCCTCCCAGAATGACTTCTACTTACTTTGAGGTATGACTGTAGAAGAGCTTTGTTCTTCAAGTGTCTGGACTCTAAATGCTGTGTATTACAGGCCATTTCAGAGATAAGGGTGACAGCTTTAAAGTCAACATGAAACTATGTTCGCAAAAGCAGTTGGGAAAGGACTTGATTTTATCTACTGGGAATTGATTGGATTGTGAAAAGTGGTTTATTTGATTTCCTGTCGACTTTACAGCTGAAGTATTATTTCTCTGTGTCTAGAGCCACCAAATGAAATTGCAAACAAATAAAAAATAAATAAACACCTGTACCTTCTTTCCAATGGGTTATACTAAATAGTATGCAATTGGTTGGATTGTTATTTCCTGCTCTAAACTACACCAATGGAATCAGTGTTGTTTGTTGGGCGCTCAAAAATAAATTGCTTACGTATAGATGTCTTTGCACATTAGAACGTTTTTAATTGAAAAACTACATTGAAAGTTAATTTTTGTATGAGAAAGAGGGAGGTAATATATCAAAAACACTTGAATCTAAGATGACTGCCAAAGTGTTTTTTTCCGTTGAGCAAGTGTGTCCTTAAAGCAGATGTGGCACTCTTAATGGAAGTAGCTATTCATAATTGACGAGGCAGGACTGAAGGTCTGGGGATGAGCCATCAGGCCTGGCCTGGTGCGACCGGCCCGCTCCTCTTTCGACCTCTGCTCTTTATGGAACTTACATTTGGATGGAGGAGCAGTTTGAGTCCATGAAGAGAAGTGTGAAGAACATTTAGTGGTGGGTATGCACTTTTTTCCCCCCCAAGTTTTGATGCTTCCTCCTGCTGTAGCTCTGAATATGCTGTTCAAGATTTGAATGGCTGAACTGATACCAATATTAGCGTCTTTTCTTCTTAGTTAACATATGCAATGGTACCCTGTGGTTACACTGAAACTCGGCTATGAGTTGAGTTATGAGCCAGCGCCTGGTTCACCATCTGTTAGGGCTGCTTTAAATCAAACTTTTAAAAGCACTTGTTTGTGAGATGCTTGGGTAAATATTTGCTAGACCAAAAACAGCTAATTAAAAGTCTTTCCTTTTTGCCATCACATGGACAACATGTGACTCGCCCAAAACAGGCCCTTTGCTCTGCACTGGCCCCAAACGTCCTGCTTGGAAGTAGCAGAAGTTCAAGCTGATTTCATATTCCTTTTCAGCAAGCAATATTTAATTTTTAATCTTATTTAAGCCAACTGGAAATAGTATTTTGCAACAGTGAAACCACGGCATGTATAATTGATGTCTTGTCTTAGCTAATGCAGTGGGAATGTTTAGCAGCCAAAGGAGGGAGAGAGTGATGCATTGAGGAGCCCCTGGGCACTGGTGGAGGCCGCTCCGCTATCCAGACAGAGAAAATGGGCCTGTGCTGCAGATCTCTTCACAAATGCAAATGGCATGCTGATAAGAAGCTATAAATCCATTGTGTGTGACGTTCCCGGTTCCCGGTCGTCTGTGACACACATACGCAAAATGACCTCTCACCGCTGGAACAGAGCGGGGGCCCCAACAGACACAATGGTTATGTATTTGGACAGTTGACATGACATGCAATTTTACTGTCTGTCCTCAATTAAAAAGGCCAGAGAATTTTTTTAAATTCTCTTAGACAGCAAAGAACATTGATTTGGCCTATAATTGTGAAATTATCTAGTCAAATGTGCAAATGTAAAAAAATTGTTGTGCATTGTGAGTGAAAGAAATTCAGAAATGTACAGAAATTAAAAATGTGGACCTGAAAAATTCAAATGATTTAATTAGTATAAT